TATATATATACTTTATTTTTTTTACAATTTTGTCTTCAGTAAAAACTTCTTTCAATCGGTAGGAGGGAGTATTTGTACAACCACTGAAAATGTGGACTTTGTTTTGCAGATAATTAGGTCTTCAGTAAGTGACGGATGAAAGTACAGGTCAGCCAGCAGGGTCCAATTTTATGTGGATCGATACGTCTCCGCTATACTAGCAATCAATGTTGAAAGCAACAGGGTCTCCAGGAAACATTAACCGACTAACAATCTGCAGTCCAGTAGATGCTAGCACAGGGACATGTGAAGCTCAGCCGCTGGTGGCTTTTCTTTGTTTGCAATTCTCCCAGTTCAACATCACTACTGCTTCCTTTACTGCACAGAAAGCTTGTCTGTCAAGCCAAAATACAGCTGAGGTGTATTGCACTGTTGGTTATACAAATGAAGTACAATGCAGGTCTTTTGGAATCCTATATGATGACTATAATTTGGTAATAGGATGAACTTGTCCTTGTAACTTTCAAGATTTTCATAATTCAGTCATTATTGTATATTTATTTGAAAAAGGAACTGAGCTTTGGAAGCTATCCTTAAAAAAGCAGGCAGAAGACAAAGGACTAGTCACCAGTATTGTCTGTGGTCTCCCTACAGCTGATCTTTCTCCATAACGAAATTACAATGCCTTGTAAATGACATTGTCACAGTAGCAGGCAGCAGTTAGATCTCACACTGCAGACATACATTTATGAATCGGTAGGCACAGGAGTATGTGCCCAAGAATACTCCCATTGCAGGGAGTATACTGCTCTTCTTCTTTTTTTTTTTTGGAGCAATTTAAGACTAGTTAGATTTGGGCACAATTAATATTTCTGAATGATCCCTCACTTTTTCAGGCCTATTTTAAAGTGGAAGTATGGACAATATAAAAAAATAACACCATATATGATGCAGTCTGTCACTAGCAATAACACAACACTCTTTCTGAGTCTCCATGTAACAGTTTTATTACCTGCTGAGCCTGCTAGTAGATCTCTTATTTTTCTATTACCTGTAATAGGATGACCACTTATTTTGCAGTATAATTGTGCAGCAGCATTGTCACTTTGTGGACCAGGGAAATCGTCGGTGGATATGTAGTTTTAAAGGGGCAAACACATTTAAAGCCTGGCTTCCGTTAAAACATTTTAGTGCAACACTTTTTTTTATATATTTTTTTGGAAAACAGATTTAAAGGAGAATTATGAGGCGAGTGATTTTCACGCAGCCTCATAATCTGAGCCGAGAAACTGATGGGGGAGGGGGTGGGCACAACTGGCTCTGCCTCTGGATAGGCAGAGCCAGCTGTCAATCCGGCAGCTGGATGGATCCAGACAATATTGTCGGGATCCGTCCTGGCTGCGGCGTCTCAGTATACCGCGAGCTGTAGTTCACGGTATACTGAGCTTTGGGTCACGGGAGAACGCTAGGTTGTGTTCTCCCGTGACCGTTAGGAGAACTATGGGGAAAAGCCCTGACCCCATAGTTCGCCTTTATACCATATGTATGAAAGCTGATTGCAGACACTGCATGTGTTACAGTATGTTGCTGTGCCGAAAATGCTGCATGCATCATCCATTGGGCCCTTGTGGTGCGTTAGGCAGCCCTTTCAAAGGAATTGGCTGCCTTAACATGACGCACATTAATGTGTGACGCAGCCTGCTTGTCAGCCATGCTGCTGTGAACCTTCCCCAGCTTTTTCTGGACAGCTTGGCCTGTTAAAGGAAGTTGAAAATGAGAGATCTACTGACGGCATTGTCGGGTAACAAGGTATTAATGATATTGACATGCTGCATCATAAGTAATTTTTTTATTTTGCCATAGGTACACTTTATGTAAAGATTCCTAACAAGAAAAAAATGTTTGCTTATATTAACCAACCAGCTTCTAATTGTCATTTTTATTAAAATTGAAACCAAGACTTTGGTTGTTTTGGAAGTGTTATTGTTGACATGTGCTTCACTCATAAGCCTCTTTGTTGGTTGTTGATTCAGTAGCTGAATTGAAACAATAACTATTTGTTGCATGTCTCTTTGGTAAGCATTGCCATTTTGAATTTGGCACCTTTCTTCCTTTAGCGCACATTTCTGTTTGGTCACCGCATTGCATGTTTACATCTATACAGTATAATTTCTATTACTAAAACTATAGCTGCCTTTTGTCTCCATTTAAATAATGTATATTATGTAAATGCAGCAGAGAATAAATTAGTGTTTTCCAAATGTCTATTTCAGACTGTGCTGTAAATGTTCATAAAAATTGCAAGACATTACTTCCTGAATGCACCAGTAGCAAGTCAAAGGTAAATTATTATGTCTCTATTTCTTATTATCTTCTGTTTGTATTCAGTGGCAACACCTTTTGTGAAGAAGGGGGAGATGTGCCTTTAACGGTATAATTGCTGTAAGCACACATTTTAGGTCTATGAAATTTTTACTTTAAAAAGGCAGAATAAAACAAGAGATCAGTGGAGCAGGTAGCTTATTACATCAGCCTGTAATGCTTACCATCAAGATACAAGGACACAAGCAAACATGTTTGTTTTGGCTTAATGTGGTGTGTTTATAATTGTCCTTTATGATCAGCTCCTGTCGGGAAAATTCCTCCCATTCCATGTCATATAGTCAACAATGCATCGTATTAAAAGTGTACCTTTTTATTAAAAAAAAAATGATTCCCTGCCTGTATCTACTGATAACTACTTGTGCAGTTAGTATATTGGTAAAGCACTTGGCTTATGTGAAATACTGTACAGGCACTGTATTACAGAAAAAAGCATCCAGGAAGAGACTGGGTTGCACACATTTGAATAATACACTGCTGGTGTTATTCAGGTTAGCCAAGTGTTTTGTAAATTACCTGTGTGCACCGTGCACTCCTGCACCTTAAAGAAATCCTATGGCAGAACGCCTAGGTGCATAAACCTTATACACAGTAGTAGGAGCTATTTACATGTTGCCTTGGTGGTATAATCTGCTAAATACTTACCGCATTTTTCGCTCCATAAGACGCACTTTTTACCCCTCAAAAGGAGGGGGGAAAAGTGCCTGCGTCTTATGGAGCGAATCCCGGCGCCCGAGACATGCAGTTTTTGGGGCGCCGGTAGTAGGAGCCACTGCTCGTTTAATACGAGTGATCTAACGAGATCACTCGTATTAAAGCCGAGCGGCGGCGATCGAGTTCAGCAGCAGGAGCCACTAAGCGTTTAATACGAGTGATCTAATGAGATCACTCGTATTAAAACCGAGCAGCGGCGACGATCGAGATAACCATAGAGCAGATGAAGAATAGACGTTCTTCGCCTGCTCTGTGTCATCACTGAGACCGTGGCGCTGTAATCACAGCGCCACCTGTCTCAGCGGTCACTAACTGCAGCTTCTGTCACAGCTTCTGTCATAGAAGCTGTGACAGAAGCTACAGTCTCGAGTGCTCCATAAGGCGCGCCGGACCTCCCTGCGTCCCATGGTCCGGTGCGTCTTATGGACCGCAAAATACGGTACCTTGACTTAGAAACTGTTGCACTGGGATCTCTTGAAGGCCAGTCATGTGACTAAATGCCTGGGTCAAGCTATGTGGCCAATTTTGGCTTTTGGAGTAGTCTTAATGTAAGCTTTGCCATTTTAACCTTTTAAAGCCCAGCTCAGCAAAACTTTTTCTTTTAGTTTTTTGATTAGACATGGGAAGAGTAGTTTGGAATTTTCTACCTCGCGTCATGTGATCACGGGACAAGAAATGAGGGGAACAGTTATCACTGAAAAGTTCATCCATCATTTACAGATTATTCTGTACAATTGGTGCTGCCAATAAGAATGTTTAGACAATAAGTTTTAACAAAAAAAACAAAAAGGAGACAGTTCCCTTATTGCACATGTGAGTATCATGTCTGATTAGCACATCCTTAACCTCTTGCCGTCCGCCCGTAGTAAAAAAACGGACGGACGGCACTGCTACATCTGCGGGTTGCCGTCTCCAGACGGCAATTTTTTTCTGCTCGCGCATGCCCCCTAGCGGGCACGCACGGGCAGAAAAGACCCGACCGTTGCACACACCTGTTACCGGGTGTTTCACATATAGGCGATCAGCGGGTCCATAGCCCGCCGATCGCCTATATGTGCTCGTTCGCGGCAATAAAACCCCCAGTGGTGAATAAATACCACCAAAAGAAAGCTCTATCTGTCCCCAAAAAAAGGTATAAAATTCATTTCAGTACAGCGCTGCATGACGGAATAAATGTCAGTTAAAGTACCGCAGCGCTGAATACTGAAAAATGGCCTGGATGGGAAGGGGGTTTAACACCGCGGATGTCAACTGGTTAAACATTCAAAAGCCACAAAATATTTTATTGCCAGATGGACAAAAATTGACATTTGAGCTGCATAATGCATCAGGTAAAACACTAGTAGGATTGAGGGCTCGTTTTTTTTTTCTTTCCAATGCAGCCTGAATGCAAGACCTAGAACACCATTTGCCTTGTCATGGGCAGTGGCAGTTCAAAGCACTGCATTTGGGTGGTGTTCGCTTAAAAAGTGTGGCATGCTGCACTTTAAGCACACCACAGTGAGATGCTGTACAACCACATCTCACTGCGCTGAGCTCATAGAACCTATTGAAATGTCACTTGTGATATTTCAATAAAGTTCTAGCAAAAAAAAAGAAACAAACAGATGGAGAGCATCGGCACTGTCCGGAGAGACACACACACACACCCCTACCACAGTAGTCGTGCGGTTGAGTGTGGCTGCTGATGGGAACAACCCCTGAAGGCACATTCTAAGTGAACATCTGTAAGACAGGGACATTCATTAACCTCGATAGATTTACAAAACATTACTGTCAGGACCTGTATAATAATCAGGATTGGCCTTTTGGGGTAAAGTTCTCCAGTGTATTGACTTCTTAAAAGTCTTTTCTACTTCTTGGTGGGTCATCATTGGGAGGAAATGTAAGTGTGTTACTGTTTTTACTGTTAATGCACTGTGTGTTTTCTTCACAATGTACCCTGCCCTGCCTTATTCGGAGCAGGGATATATGGGTATAGTCCACAGCAACGCAACGGCTTTGAGCTTTCTTGCCACTGCTGACATCTTTTCATGTTTGTTCATCTTGATTCCCATATGTATGGTAGGTAATTCATTCCAAAACCAAGGCATGCCAAGACTGTACACTGCTTGGTTTGTTTGTTTTTTTGTTTGCTTCCTCTGCCTAATATGTCTTGTAGGTCTCTGTGTGTTTTAGATTAGTCATGGAAATGTGATCAACAGTAAAAATGTGAAGCTTGTAAAATATTTTTGACAGATAATAAAAATTAAAATTGAATCAAAAACCATTTCAAATCCCCTTTAACTTCAATGTTTGCTATACCTTGTTTTAGTAAATAATAGTAATCCTAATAATAATTTTCTGTATTTTCAGAGGGAAAGTTACAAGGCCGCAGCATCTTCCCACATATCTTCATTTTATCAACAAGGTACAGTTTTTACTTTACTTTGTAAAAATGGTATAGTAGAGTAAATTAAAAATCTATGCTATGGCTCTACTGTATTGACCGACTGCATCTAAATAAGGAGGTTGCAGCTCTGTTGGGCAAAAAACTGGTTAGAGGGTTGAGGGAGCGTTTAAACTAGGATCTAGGGTTGGGATCAGAAGAGAATATACTATATAGTGAGCAAGGGTCCAAGTGGTTGCTGAATATAGAGTTGGGTGGATTAAGTGGGGAAAACTGAGCACAAACTAGATGGTAGGGAAATTGCTAGGGATGCACAGATACTTTTCGAGTACCAGTGCAGATACTTGGCGTTTTCATGAGAACTACCAGGTTTGCAACGGTTGCAGCTGGGACCTGGCTCTGGCACTCCACCACTGTCCTGAAATCATTAGTCTGTATTGTTTTAGAAAAACTGTCACATGACACTAAACAAAAATGTATCAGTACTCGTACTTGTAAGTACTCGGCAAGTAACAGTACTCGTACTCGCAAAACTGGTATCTGTGCATCCCTTTATTTATAGTTATAAAAACAAAATCGTACATTAAAACAGAGATTTACAAATCCCAAGAGCTCCGTGTGCTCCTTACAAATGACAGCTGCCTCCTAATTTTTGAATTTTTCTCTAGTGTAGTCTTGGAGCTCAAAAGTATCTGTACATGTACTCGTACTTGTACCGAGTACTGTACTTGGTATCTGTGCAACCCTAGAAATTGCATTACTGAAGTCCAATGCAGAAAGTGTTGCAGACCCAAATTGTAATCCAAGAATGAGCAATAATAAAATACTAACATTTAAAAGATATGTACACGAATGCAACAAGTCTGGTAAATAAAATAGAAGAGCTAGAACGTTTTGTTACTCAAGGAGGATTTTTGCCTTCTTGGGATTGTTAGAAACCTGGTTGGACAGCTTATGTGACTGGGCTGCTAAAATCCACGACTACACTCTGGTTTGGAGGGACAGATTTGCTAGAAGAGGTAGAGGGGTATGCCTGTTTGTCAAGAGCAACCTGAAAATGAATGAGAGAAGATATTACTGCATATGGGTAAATTTAAATTGGAAATTAATTGTGTGAGTATGCTATTTAGGAAACAGGGCAATATTTTTATGGCCGACTTCAATTGTCCTGATATTGATTGGCCAAATAAAACTGAACATTGAACAAATAAATGACCCATAAAATTGATGATGTGTCCAACAAAAGAATACTCTGTTGCATCTATTAATTTAAAATAACATACAGCACATTACAGGTGTGCAAATTAAAGACAACTTGGCTAATGGTAACCATAGTGGGGAGCATGTTGTTACCAAAACAACTCTAAATTTTACAAAACGCTGACTTCAATAAGCCGTGCTTCTCATTGTGTGTATTTACAAGCAGTCAGCGATCAGTTGATCCCTGACTGCATGTACCTACTCTTACTCGTGGGCACAGGAGGCTGAGCGGGTGGTTCGGGGAGGAGAGCTGTCTATTTTGACAGCTGACTCCTCCCACGCACTGCCGGCTCGACCTCCTGTGACAGCTAACAGCTGTCTCTGTTCTCACACTACTCTCCATTGTGATTTGTTATGGGAGGGGAGCTTGGCCGTCTGTGACATCGCGGCTCGCAGCACTCTCCTCCCCGCCCCTCTAGGCTGCCTGAACGTTTCTCTCCTCCCCACTGGATGCTGCGCTGTGTCGGAGGGGATGAGAGAAACCAGTACTGCACCACAATTTCGGCCAAAAGTGCCATTTTCGGCAGATCTGTTTCGGCAGCCGAAATTTCAGTGCATCCCAATTTTAATAGTTGATGTGGAAGCGGTTGTCATTCATAGAATCAATAGTGCATAAGTGACCATAGATTTATTCATATGACGGCTATAGCAGATCACTCAAAGAATCACTGTAGAATTGTTTGACTTCAGAATGCAAATGCATCCTTCATTTGCCATGATTTGTTATGTTCTGTTACTCATTTTATACATATTATACCCATGGCAGTGGTTACTGGCCTTCTAATAAGTGTTTTCGTTTGCATTTATTTTTCATTTCTGATGTGATGTGGAAATCTCATATAATTGGTAGTGTGGGAGACTTTCTTTTTCAGTGCAAAGAAGTGTGTGTGTGTGTGTGTGTGTGTGTGTGTGTGTGTGTGTGTGTCTCTTACAAAACAGATTGTCAGTTATCACTTGCTGCAGAGGAGTGCTAAAGTAATCTATCTCATGGCCACAATTGGCTGTTAAAAAGCACCAGGTGAAATTCTCTCTTTGATTGCCACTCACGGAAGCACAGTCAATAAGGGTTAGTTAAGCAGCAGGAGGGTTTTCTGGAATCATCGCTGAAAACTTTCAAAGCTAGAAATCCTGAGACATTGGTGGCGTATTCACTGCTAAGCATTGACTGAACTAAACTATGGGAAATTCCAGCCTCAAAAGAGAGAAGGGCAATAGTTGCCAGCCTTTCTCTTCTAGACTCTCTGTGTACAGCGCTTATCCAAAGAAATGGGGCAGGAACTTTGTTTTGGAAAAGGAGCTTTTGACATTTCACATTTTTTCTGCACTGCAAAAGAAAACTGACAGCAGATTTCAGTATGATGGTAGTCACTCCTATTCCAACTCGGCGTTTGCGTCTTTTGCAGCAACATTGAAGGATCACCCTCGCATTGCTATTGTAGGTCTAGATGGGGCTCATGTGCAGGGACGGGGGCTCGGAATGACTGTCACCAATAGAGGAAATTCAAGAGTGGAAATACAAGCAACGGCAGGCAGCAGAACCAGGTAAGAACTGCATTTTGTTAATTTAATATTGCATACTGTGGTTGTAATGAACTTTAAAATTAAAGACTCTACCACTTACATTTAACATAGTGTCTTACACTATAGTACAAAAGCACATATTCCTAGTATCTTGTAAAATATCTCTCTAAGAAATGGAAAGGCAGAAAGGAGGCAGGAAGTATGGGGTGACCCCTTTCTAGTGTAGTAATTTTGAGTTTCTTGATCATCTTAAATCTGTAGAGTTTGGGATAAACCAAGTAACAGGTACCCAAACTAAAATGATGAGGTTTATTCACTAAAGGATGAAGAGTTTGGAGAAGGCAGGAGAAGTGAACAATCTAGGACAACAAAGCTGAATTGGAGAATTTTCCCAAATCCACTACTTTGATCTAGATTTTTCACTTCTACTGCCTTCACCCTTTTGTGAAGTAACCCTGTTATATTGTGGAAGATAACTGTCTTCATTCAGATCTTTGTCCAAGTAGGTGCTTACACTCAATGCTGGGAAGAATGCAGAAACCTGATCATCTGATTAGTCGTTGTATTCAACGGGTGTGGGTAGAGTTTATGTACTATAATTTTTTTTTTATCCAATAAAGAACTTCCACGTTGGGCACAAACTCCTGGCGAGTAATATTTTTCTCAAACTTTGAACTTCAAACTGGGGTGTCGTGGCCTTTTTTTGTGTCCC